ACATTATTATTCCGCTTTATTACCGTGAATATTATTTTGGTAAGGGGTTTATTCCCAACAAAGTGCATATATAGAAACACACGAGCAGTAGCACTGATTGTGTCGATCGATGTCAGCCTCAATGGAATGTCATATAAATAAATTTGATTAGCTAAAGTCTCAAGCATAAACAGAGGTTAATGTGTTTGAGCATTAAGCTTCAAAATTCAGTCGCAAGATATCTTTAGTTTTATGATAAACAGTCTTCCACGGTTTGTAATATTAATTAATTAAAGGATATAAAGTGAAGGAAGAATATACGTCTGTAAACTTCTTTACCTACCTGAGTGCATAGTCTTATATATGCTGGCCAAAGCAGGATTGCTTAGTACAATAGTTAGTAATTTGATTCCCTTGAGCCTGTTGTCCTAAAAGGAATCTACTTCCAATTTATTAATGATGAAGAAAAGTGAATCCAGAACTAAATTCTGGACAAACCTTAGTAATAATATATTAACACCTTTGTATCCATAAACTGAGTTGGTTGAGGTCTTTGAGCTTGAATTAAGTGTCATCATCGATCAGATTCTTGCATTCAATTAATTACCCCTTTATTGCTGATCGCTTATCAGACACCAACATCTATCATGTAAAAGTCCTAGTGCAGTCAGTGCCTTAACCTTAAAGGAGTGAGTTGTGATGTATCTATCACACATTCTGTTGATTCTTGAAATTTTAATGGCTGATAGTACACCCTTTGATATGGCTCAGTTGCCAAGGGATTTCGCCCGTCACACAACAAGGATGGATCCTTTTATTACAACTTGATGGCTATAATGTTCTCTATTATATTGGTTTTGCTTTAACTATTTCTTTATTTTTTTACCCTCGCCCAGCAAGTTGTTGGTGAATGTGAAGATAAAAATTTGTGCAAGGGCAGTTGAAGGCCAAACAAAGTTAATGAGGCATTAGCTTCAAGTCCCTAAAAACTTTAGCATGTTAAAAATGTGAAATTATAAGAAATAGCAGAAAAGTACTCAGCTTCGTGAAAAAAAGAAATGGAAATTTATGCATGTCAATTAAAATAGATATATCGGGTTACTTAAAACTTAAAAGAAGAGTTGAAACTTTAATATATCAACACCAAAGGGGTTCTCAAGAAACAGTAATATAGTTATTACAATCAAAGAACAAATGGTACAGATATGTTGGAGAACTTTCTGCTACTGCTACCCTCATTTTCAGAAATTTCCTTCAAACTAGTCCAAGACTTCCTCTTTCGCTTACTGGATATTGAGACAGTTTTCTCAGCATCTGTCGCAGACGAACCAACCTGAGGTTCAACTTTCTTCTTGAACCCTGTTCTGTTTCTTTTCTTCCTCTTAGAATCCAACAAAGAAGTAACTGTTACTGTCGACAATGGAGTTGCAGGACTAGCGGTAGGATCATCTCCAACTATTTCAGATGAAACCGTTACATCTGCATTATAATTATCTCTATTGGTACTAGCCACTGAAGTAACAAACTGTTCAGACTTTTGGGTTGCTGATTCAGTAAGGTCAACTCTTGTCTCATCGATATTAGCCTCTAACGTATCCAACTGTTCAGACTTTTGGGTTGCTGATTCAGTAAGGTCAACTCTTGTCTCATCGATATTAGCCTCTAACGTATCCAACTGTTCAGATTTTTGCGTTGCTGATTCAGTAGGGTCAACTCTTGCCTTATCGATACTAGATACTACTNGACAATGGAGTTGCAGGACTAGCGGTAGGATCATCTCCAACTATTTCAGATGAAACCGTTACATCTGCATTATAATTATCTCTATTGGTACTAGCCACTGAAGTAACAAACTGTTCAGACTTTTGGGTTGCTGATTCAGTAAGGTCAACTCTTGTCTCATCGATATTAGCCTCTAACGTATCCAACTGTTCAGATTTTTGCGTTGCTGATTCAGTAGGGTCAACTCTTGCCTTATCGATACTAGATACTACTGTATCCAACTGTTCAGACTTTCGGGTTGCTGATTTAGTAGGGTCTACTCTTGAAGTTGTTGTTTTGGCAGGATATAGGTCTTTCATATAGCCACTTGGGGTTCCTCTCTTAAGATTACGATGTGAGCAGAAATGGCACTCATAGACAACATAGTTCTTCTGGGGAATACCAGGTTTCTTGCGTCTATTTCGTCCCTTTCTTTTGTTCTTCTCGATCCGTACTGAACAATTATAGCCAGACTGAAGGATAGATTCACACCTGTAGAAGAGCAAATACAAGTTAGTATGCAAGCCTCAATTTTCTCATAACAAAAGGGGGTGGTCGGCAATGGCTCATTCAAACATGACAATTGGGAACATTGTCCCTTAAACAAGTATATGATGCAGACAGTTATCGTAAAAAAATGCCCATATTGCATCTTGAACTCAAACATAACCAACTTTTAGAGAAATCAAAACAAAAATAATTATAAAAATGGTGTCAGGGCCAGCTTTTGCGTATCTTGATTATTTCACCAGGTACCTGCTACCTCCCATCTGTACAAGCGGTTGACCTTGGCCACCAAGACTCAGGCAGATGTGAAGAAATCACCTAGTGTCTTTTGTCTCCATTGGTTTTGCTCACTTCATTAACCGCTTGGCGACACTCCTAGGTACTAAACAAAAAAGTTATTTTGATAGAAAGGGATTGATACCACGCCACAGTATCTATTAGCAAACACTTGCTTTACCAAAATGGATTATAAAGTAACAAGATGATTCATGCAAAGGGATTACAGAAAGGCATTGCTATAAGGTATGCAGTTACTATCAGTGTTTACACCGTGGATAGACGGAATTATATAGTCCAATAAACTGCCTGACAGGATATAGTGTAACATAAAAACTTATTACTGTTGGGAGATGTCCACCGCATTTGTATTCTTCCTCATCCATCAATTCTTGTCCTATCCCAGAAATTAAAAGGCATAACAAATAAAATTTCTAGCTCTTCTAAATTTTGTTTACACATTCTCGCAGCATCTTGAGAATTAACAAGTCTCCATCCATATTAGATAAAAGAACATAATATTATAATTAATGATGTCAAACTACATTAAAAAAACGATGTCAAAGTGTGGCAAGAATTTAAACATACAGTGATAAAAGAAAAGTTATTGAGCAAAGTGAGAGAGCATATGCACAAACCAGTTAAGGATCTGGATGAACAAAACTAGTCCAAACTATCATTCTAATGTGTCTCAATTATGCCACCTTTGTAGAAGAGGATACAAGTCATTAAAGGCCAAGACATGAGTAACAATCAAGGATTCAGTGGGAATCTGGTAAACAGAGAAATAATCAGATTTATTTTTTATTTTTTATTTTTCAAAAAAATCTGATTATTTCTCTGTTTCCCAAACCCGTGTAAAATTCTTAAATCAGTTCACAGATAGAGAAGGTCAACAGAATGCTGAGCTTGTTTTTTTCTTTTTTGATTTTCTGGATAAGCTTAATGTTAGCCATCATATGAATATGCAGAAATCTAATGGGAAAATATGCAGAAAAGTTGGTCCATACATTTTATTACACTTTAAGCTCAATCATAGAATAACCAAATGACATAGAAAGTCAATTAGCTACAAGAATATCTAGAATATGGAACACATACATAGATACAATTCCTATCATCTTTACAAGAATAGACAGGGGATGACATTGGTATATCTTCTTTATCAACAACGACAGCGACATACCCCATTCCCACAAGTGAGGTTTGGGGAGGGTAGTGAGTACGCAGACCTTACCACCTTGTGCAAGTAGAGAGGCTGATTCGGAGAGACCCTCGGCTCGGGAAAGCACTCATATCTTCTTTATCATCCTAGCATTATCTTGGACTTGGTCTTTGTCATTAATAAAATTGATTGTTTCCTCCTCAAGAAAAATAATATAGGAAGTCAATGTCACATCCCAAACTATCCCCAAGACGTGACTGGCACCCAACTAATACCACTCGCCAGGCGAACCAATTCCTGTACTCTTAACCTTTTATATAAGCACCGAGAGAAATAGGAAATAATTATTCGACTAAAATCATAATTTATTTATAAATCTAAAGAACACTCAAATAATAAGTCTCTAATCCAGATTCCATACTAAGACCGTGGAGCATCTAACGGAGTAATAGAAGTTTAAGTGACGGGCATGCAAACCCGAAAGAAATAATAGATATAAGATAGGTAGAGCTGAAACGGCAGCCTCCACGAATAATGCGGCGGCTCACCTCAACAATAGGATCCACTAGAAGGTTGAGGCTTCAAGCACCAAAGGTATCTAGAAACTAAGGAACTGACCAAGCATGAGCTTTCACTAGCTTGACTCAGCAAAAATGTTAAATATTTGCGACCATTGATCATCACTTCTGAATGTTCATTCAGGGTAGTAACTAATACAGGAACCTCATAACAAGTCCATAACTGTACATGTTAGGATTAATGGCCTAGTGTTCGTGTGCTGCATATGTTGACCATGTACAGAGATTGACATTTTGGCAGTGTAGTAAATATGGCTGGCTTATTGAGCAATCTGAGTTAAGACACACAGAATGTGAAAGGCACTTGTTCGAGTTGTTCTCCCAAAAGCTATAGACGCTTGATTATTAAGATCCTCTGCGAAGGAAATATAACCAGTCAATTGCACTATTACTGATTCTGAGAAGTAGAAAGTGAATAACATTCAAGTTAAGGCTCTCCCGCAGTACTATGGAATTCATATGAAACCAGAAAGTCAAGGCTCCTCCTAAATGATACAGATAAATTGAAGTCAGAAAGTTCCTGAAATTACTAGTATAAATCTACCATTAGGATTTGTGCAACAACTGAAAAATTAGCTACTAGTTCCAATCCAATTTAACATAACGTTCAATGCAGAAGCACTCAAAAGGTAGGTTCCAAGCTAAAGGCTCAATTATCATCTTAGAGGTCCTAAATTAACCCCTCCTCCAACCCCTATCTCAAATAAAGAGATTGCCACTTCCCAAGAAGATAAGAAACACTTGGATTATATCTAATTCAAACACTTATTATTCACTCGAACAGGCTTAATAAAATAAGTACAACTCTGTTAATTCATCATACCTCACTTATCATTTCCTGGCGCTCTAGGTTTAAGTTTTAACAAGACTCAGTGGCTTGCAAGAACGCGCAGGTTCAACAATTAGTGCAGGAGTACATGTTGTAGAATATAATACATGAAAACAGGGGTATGGCAGACGTAAGAGGGACCCTTGTCAATTGAGACGACTCTAGAAGATTCCCCTCAACAATGTTTGGACCTCCATGGCAAAGGCATCTAATAATATAAAGGATGGTACATGATAAACAAAATAAGGTAACAATTTACACAATCTCACAAATCACTCATCATTCCCATAAAAGTTCTTCTAAGGGACATATCATCATACTTCATATTCTTGTTAGAGATAGCTATGTAAATGTTAGAGATAGCTATGTAATTGTCCCACATTGGAATATGAGTAGTATCCTCTTTGTATAGAGTAGCTATAAATAGCACCTCTTGTATTGCATCACACACAATATCAATATATCATATTTTCTCTCGTGCTTTCTCACATGGTATCAGA